TTCTTGACTATGCAATAATTAATATATTTGAATTAATTAACATTATTTAGTTATAGGATTGAAAAATAGGTTAGAATTTTTTTGACAATAATGTTTGTATTTATTTATTTATTTATTACTAATTAGTATTTATTTTAGCTATTATATAATTTTTGTATAATATAATATATATCTTTCTTTGTATGCAAGTATTTATTTTTTAAATATAATATAATTTAAATATAATATAATATTATATTTAATAACAATATTGATTTATTTATTTCTTAGTAATTAGTATTTATTTTTTATATATTATTTAATTTTTTTATAATATTATATACTATTATAATTTATAATTTAATATATTATATAATTTTTGTATTACACAATTAATCTTGTTAAATTATTGTATTTTATAATTTTTATTATGCAATTGTTGTTACTAATAATCAAATAACAGTTTTTTTTTTTGGTAAAATATCAAATAACATTATTTTGTTATAGGTTTGAAAATACCATTGTAGAATATTAATTGTGTTATATTATTTATTGATTATGCATTATTATCCAACATTTAGTATATCATTACTAGTGTTATTAATTGTGTTAAGTATATTAATATTGATTTCATTTATTATTTATTATTTATTATGTAATATTTAATTATTTATGGATTATAGAATAATTAAATAATGTTGAATATTTACTCATTTCTTAGTAATTAATTAGTATTTATTTTGTATATATTATATAATTTGTAATTGTAATATCAGACTTTTTTTGTAAATAGATCCATGGAGCAGCAGGGCCCGCACTTGACTTTCATTGACCCTGGTCCATCGGTGCGTTCTCTCCTGACGTTGCAGGAGAAACACATCTCCACGCATGTGTGGAACACATCAGATGACGCACAGGGACGTGATCATATCCTCAATGTCAGACACGCTGCGTCACATGATCATTTGGATATTCTCAAGGATATCCAGCCTTACCTTAGGTCGGCTGGGTTTTATCACGTTGCTGCGCAACCATGAGGTTAGTGAGACGTAGACTTTATAACAGATGAAATTACATGTATGTTTCATAAATTGTGATAAAATGTAATTTTTTTTATTGTCAGATTGATCACTCACTCATCTCGGTCCTGGCGGCCTGAGACGCGCACATTCCATATGCTGATGGGTGAGGTTACAATTACCTTGGAGGATGTACACCATCTGCTGGGATTGCCCACAGATGGAGAGGTTGTATGTGGCCGCGTTGGAGGCCACCCCTTATCGGAGCTGATTACATATTTGTTGGGCTTAAAGCCGGGTCGGCAGTGCGAATTTCGTAAGAACCAAATTTCATTGACATTTCTTCGGGTCGGCAGCAGGTGATGGGTCATGCGTACCAACAATGCCCAGTGATGGAATCGATTCAACCAATGAAGTAGACAGCTCCATTTCGAAATCACCATCAATGTCTGTATCCGACGAGTCACTGTAACGCCTGGCCGCTTCAATCAAGCTACCATCATTTGATTTCTTTTTTCTTTTAGCTTATTTATGTTTTGCTAGGTTTATCTTTATAAAAAAAGGAGAAGTTAAAAATAATAGTTTTTAAATTGGTACTAAGAGCATGTTTGGCACATTTTTTCAAGTTAAAAGTTATTTCTAAGCAAAAGTAAAAAAAAAAACACTTAAAAATTGTTTAGTAATTATATAAATCTATTATAATATTAGTCCTTCTGAGGGACTAACGTGAGTTTTCTTTAAATTTCAGAGGGACCACGATTTTGATTAATTGTGTCTATTTTGAATTTAAGAGCGACCACAAGTTGACTTTTTTTCTAATGAATTAAAATGTGTTCTGTGATCTTTGTTGAGTACCCAAAAGATACTTTATTCTTCAAACTATTAAAAAAATTAAATGCTATTTCAAGCTATTCACATAGCAAATTTTGCAGTAATAGAGATAGCTCACCAACTATTCACATATATAAAGTTTTGCTTTTTGAAATGATTTTTTTGTTGTGTGTGCACTTGCACACATTGGCAACCATGTAGGTTTGCTAGTGATAAGAAATCCCTTACTCTATAATCATTATGATATCTTTGTGAGTCAGTCATATCAGAATCATTCAGTAAAAGATTATATATATTTCATAATTATATATATTTCATAATATACATTTGGTACCAAAGGAATTCCTTAATTTTATATTATTGATTCAAAATCATTCTTATAACTAATATGAATAAATTCCTCAAATCCACAAATTCAAAGATAACATATAAATCAAAAGAATATAATAGATTTTGAAGAAAACACCTGGATAGAGTAACGACACATCCACTTTTAAAGAAATAACTTTAAAATATCAGTTTTATATATAAATTAAGAGAAAAATATTTCTGCAGTTACTGCAAATAAGTTATCTGCATTTGCTCCCAAAATGACGACGTTTGGGGATTGAAATATTAAAAATTATAATTATAAAGACTATAATAACCCTTAAATAAATTAAAATTACAAAAACACCATGAATTCCGTCTCAAAACAACGTCGTATTGGGCTTACTACAGATAACTTATCTGCAGTAACTGCAGAAAAAAGCGAACCCATAAATTAATTATAAAATATAAAATTAAAAGAACGAGATTTTCTCCCAATATTATCTTCTTATTTTAATTTTTCCACTTTCTTCTTCTTTCTATATATGTCTCTCTCCTTTCTCCTTCTCCTTCTCTCTCTTTCTCCCCCCACCTTTCTCTCTTTTTCTTTCTTCTTACATTTTCTCTTTTTCTTGTTTTTATTTATTTCTTCATCAGGTTGTACCTATTTATATAGATAAATATTATGACTCTGTTGACTAAAGTAATTATTACATATAGTTAGTTTTTAACAAAACTAACAAAAATTTAGTTAAAATCTAACTAATATTAAACTAAATAATCATTACCTAAAAAAATCTTAAATATTTTTATTTCTTTGTCTTACAGGATGTCTCCACATAGTACTATTATTTTTATTAAAATTTATATAGCGCTACTGTGTCGATCTTGTGGCCAAACATGTCACTTTCAACTTCAACTAATATACATATATGATGCTTTAAGCGTCGCCCCTAGATGCAAGATGCACAAGGGGCTATTTAGGTGCCACCCTCACTCATATGGCACTGCTTTTTGCATAGGTGAATGGTATATATATATATATACACACACGTGTGTGTGGGATATTGTTTCTCAAACTATTTGAGATAATTTTATCTTCAAACACTTAATCATAACCGTACAAAGATAGATAAATGGTAATAAAAGAGAATCGTAACCATTCAAAGGTGAATCAATTAATATAAGGAATACACAAAATGATATAATTTTGGGCTATGTTGCACCGACACCGACACGGGACATGAGATACGACACGACACGACACGACACTTCGACATGTTAATTATAAAAGATGTTATATTTTGACACGTTATGACACATTTTGATATTATGTAATATTTTTAATTTATGTAGTGTACATTATATTTAGTATTCAATAATTTAACAAAAAATAAAGCCAAACTCATAATACTCATCAATTTTGCAAAGAAACATAAGATAATCTAAATGTTTATATTAAACTTAATAAAATCGTAACCGTAATCTAACGAATCTAATAGTTGTAACTCAAAATGCAACGCAACGTAACCTTTGAACCTTTTTTTGAGTCTTTGCAACGGGTATTAGGGTGTCAGAAAGTGTCAGAGTGTGTCGGACACGACGCGTCAAATTTTTTGAAGTATCGGTGTTCATAGGTTTTGGGCTGACTGGAGATAAATATATCTCAAGCAGCTTGAGAAATATTTTTCTTATATGTGTATTTGGGGTTTACATTTTTGCAGTATATTTGAAAGCATTAAATGCGAGGAATCATAACCATACAAAGGATGAAAACATTAAATATGGAGAATCATAACCATACATCTGTCGTTGCTGTACGTAAAGCTGCTGTAGAAATGATTTTATCTCTCTCTCTCTCTATATATATATATATATATATATATATATATATATACACACACACACGAGAAAAGTGTTTGTGATTTTAAATGACATAACACTTTGTCCTTTTAAGAGAGAGACAGACACAGGAAAAAAATTTATTTAGATTTTAAATTAAAAAAAAAACTACATACTTTCTCTCTCTTATGATTTCCATTTTTTCTGTGTCTGTCTCTCTTCTAAAATGAAATAACTTATATCATTTAAAATGAGAAACACTAAACCCTAAATATATATATATATATATATATATATATATATATATATATATATATATATATATATATATATATATTGGTATTGCATCTTAAAACAAGCATATTTGCTTTCTTGGATTTAAAAAGAGCATCTCCCCCTCTCTTTTTTATGTGCAAGAGCCTCGGAAAGCTTCGAGCATTTTTTACATGGATTTTCAATTTTTTATATTTAATTATTTTTTTTGAATTTTCAAACTTTAAATAATTATACTTATCAAAGGGGAGATTGTGTTTACCACTTCTTTTTTACTACCAATTTTGTTATTTCTGGATCAAAAATAAATCAATGGTTACAGAATAATATCAAGTAAGATTTGTGATTTGGTTTTGATCGAACGCTTTAAGAAGATTTATGATAAGAGGTAGTAAAAAAAGCGATAAATATAACCTATCTCATTATTTATTATTTGTTATTTGATAATTTAAGGTTTATTTTATATGGTATTAATTTCAAATTTAGCTTTTAAGATAATATTTCAGTACATAAATATAAAATTGTAAATAAATTAAAAAGCAAAAAACAAATAATCAGTTTGGGAAATTGAAAAAGAAAGAGCCTCTCACATTCCGGTTTAAAGATTTTTGATGTAATGTCCCTTTCAGAGACGTGTCCGTAATTTAATTACTCACACACGTCAGCTAGACTACCCTTTCTTTCTTCATAGTTGAAAAAGGCGATTAAACTCGAGATTGAGGTATGGAGATGGAAAGTGATGATGGCGTTGATGGAAAAAGGCAAATGCTGGTTGTGTAGACGAATGGCCTTATCTAGTTGACTTAGTTTGCCCTGGGAATGCGTGGCTTCCCTTAAACGCATTCAATGCTACGGTTGGCTTTGCACCTTGCTTTTTTCGCCTATATCATATATATTGATGCAAAATCAAAGAGCCACCTACAAATACAATACAACCTTGGTAGCAGCTACATGGAAAACACAACAGTTATGGAGAAAGGAAATGGAGTTGAAGCTACAAGATCTGATGATGAGGAATTAGAAGGCAACGCCACCACTCTACGGATTGTGGAGACTTTCCTGCGCTTGCTTCCCATTGGTCTCTGTGTAACATCCCTTCTCATTATGCTTAAGAACTCTCAGGATAACGACTATGGCTCTATTGCCTACACAGATCTCGGTGCTTTCAGGTACCAATCAAGTGCTTCACACACACGTACAATTTCTTTCCTCTTTTTTCCCCACGTTTTTGTACTGGACAAAATCGAAACTAGATACATAAACATCACTCACTGGTTTTGAGCTGAGGTTGTCGTTTGTGAAGCAAGAATTTTGGGGCATGTGTTTGGATTTTTTATTTTTTTTTAGTAAAACTGTTTTGTAGAATAAATATGAAAATAAGTATTTTTTATGTTTTTTTTTTTTTTTTGTTTTGAAAGATAAAAATAAAAACAGAAAACAAAAATAACACAAACATATTCTCTAAAGTTGATTTAAAAAAAAAAAAAACAATTTTTAATTTTTTTTTCTGAAAATCAAAAACTGTTTTTAAAAATAGTTATCAAACATAGCCTTGGTTTTTGTACTATATTGACATAGTTTCGGCATTTTTTATTAAATATTAGTAACATCAGTAATTAGAAATGATGAGCCAAAATTCTTAGTTTAATTTGGTCTGTGGATTTTTGTATCTTGCTGCAGGTATTTGGTGCATGCCAATGGAATTTGTGCAGGGTATTCATTACTTTCAGCAGCCATTGTTGCCTTGCCCCGCGCTTCCACCATGCCTAGAGCTTGGACTTTCTTTTTGCTTGACCAGGTCATCTCACTCCCCCCTCTCCCTCCTAATTATGCATGAATGACAAGAGTGATTTATTACAAAAATAAATTGCTCCACCAACTAGGTTTGACACACCTGTTCAAACCTTTCGCGCGATATAAAAAAAAACGAAAAAAAGAAAAGAAAAGAAGCACTCCAATGGTTGTTAAACATTAATCTGAAATACTTATTAGTTATTACTACATATAAACCACCATGAATTAAGGGCATTTAGATTTTAGAATACCTGAGTTTTTTTTCATAGCATTACATGATTTTAATTAGTGCTATCTGTGAAACCGTGTGCGAGAGTGGGACCAATGTGAATCTGTGTAAAAGTATTAAATGATTTTTTTTTTTCCATAGCATTAAATGATTTTTCATTGTGTAGGTGCGTTTATTGTGGGCAACGGTATCTATGCAAGATTTTTTTTCTTTCTGAAATTAGCTTTATAATCTATGAACAAAAAATTACTCAAATGGTTCAATAATTAGCAGTTGATATAGATGCTATTAAGCATTGATAAAAAAAATTTATACAAATATTGTTAGTATAATTTGTCTTCTGAATAAGTCCAAGCATGAAAATACTGAAATTGAAAATGAGGATTATTCTCTCAAAAGAATATGAGGGGTTTTCTTCTTTAATTTTTTTTTTTTTACGAGAGATTAATATATACTATATTTTAATTCATTTTAATATAAATTAGTCTTTTGAAATGCAAATTTCCCTCTATAATTTTTGGATTTGGATAATTTCATGTGAAAAAATGATTATATTATTTGATCATAATCATTTTTTTCTCTCTTATCTCATTATTAACGAGTAGTTGTGATCAAATAACATGACTACATGACCACTTTTTCATGTGAGAATATACAATCCCATAATTTTTTAGTGTCGCTGGCTAGTTTGAATATCTATCATTAATTTTTAGATGTTAAAAGATAAAATTAACATTTAGGATAAATCTCAAAGTCAATAGGATTTTAAATTTAATTTTTATCTTTTAAAATTCAAAAAATGATAATATGAATATTCAAAAATAGTTATCGGTGGTATTAAAAACCACAGAGAAAAAAAAAGTACTATCTGTTATCAAAAAAAAAAAAAAAAAAAGGTACTATGAGAGATTCCTTCATAATTACTTATCGCCGCAAACCGTCTAGATGTTAGGTTATATTAAAATAAATTAAAGTGTAGCATATTTTCATTTAGAGAAAAAAGCATAATTTTTAAAATAAATGAATACGATGTATAATTTATGGATTTGATGTTTGTCATTTTAAATGATATAAATTATGTCATTTTAAGAGAGAGACAGACACAGGAAATGAAAATCATGGGAGAGAAAGTAGGTGTCTATCTCTCTCTTCAAATGACATAACTTTAACTTTACGTCATTTAAAATGACAAACACTTTTTCTGTAATTTAAACATCAGAAAAATATTTCTACAGTTAATGCAGATAAGTTATCTGCATTTACTTCCAAAACGACGTCGTTTTGGGATTGAAAAATTATAATTATAAAGACTATAATAACCTGAGATAAATTAAAATTATAAAAATATCATGATTTTCGCCCCAAAACGACATACTTACTGCATACAACTGCAGAAAAAATAACCCTCCAAACATATTTCAAAAGAGAAGAATATACTTTATCAAAAAATAACATCTCTGTATATTTTGGATTTCTATTTAGTAATATGAAGTATAGTTGAGTTAAGAACAACCCTGAATCTGGGATGGGGGTAGCTCTTCCTGACCTTAAACTTTTATGATAAAAGAAATAAAGTGTTAAGACAATGGAATAAATTTTCAATATCATGACAACTTGAAGAATTGAATATTTTTCCATTTGTGTTCCTAGGTGCTAACCTACATAATCCTGGCTGCTGGAGCTGTGTCAACGGAGGTGCTGTACCTGGCCGACAGGGGAAACACCGCAACAATGTGGAGCTCAGCTTGTGGGTCTTTTGGTCCATTTTGTCACAAGGTCACTGCATCAATAGCTATCACTTTTGTCGCAGTGGTTTGCTATATCGTGCTTTCCCTCATTTCCTCCTACAATCTATTCAGCAAGTTTGATGCACCAGCCAGCAACCCCACTAAGAACATTAATATTGCTGCTTTCCATGGCTGATCCTAAACTTCATGCTTTGTGATAGGGTACGTTTTATGCTAGAGGATAACAACATTCCCATGCTTGGCTTTTATTTTCTTCTATTGAATCTCAAAAATAAGACACTCATGTTTGCTCTGCGAAGCACAATCTTGAAGTGCTTATAAACTAAATAACTTCAGCCGTATGTTTTTGAAGTGTCCAAAGTGCAACGCTCTATACTAAATTTTTCATAAAAGAGAAATAAACAAGATTAGGCCTTCGCGTTCATAATTTCGTAAGTGCAATGCTCTATGCAAATTTTTTCCCGAGTGCAGGATCATTCATTATTACTCAATAATTTAGGCCTTCTCCATGTAAACTTTCAGAGTTTGGTGAACGATCTGAATTTACAATAAAAAGACATTGATAAAGTAAGAGAAAAACCAAGTTTGTAGGTAGCAGTAGCAGTAATCTTTATGGTGCAAAGCAGAAGAGTTGTCGAATTTCATGACAGATTGTAACGAATACAGTAGCAGTAATCTTGTTCATTTTGGTATGTCATAGGAAATACGAACCATAGTTCCACATTAAATTAAGAGTAGAGCCAGAGGATGATTTAGTATTTATTGCATATCTTGTTGAGCATGAGTCACAAGACAGGTATGAGTGCTCCACATTTCAATCCAAGTTGCCCTTGTTGAGAAACACAGCCCAATAAGAGAGTTCAACATCCTAAATCCACCCACTATATCAAACCAGAAATAGAGCAATAAAAGACGTTTGGTAGATAAGATATTTTTTTTATCAGGTAAATATAATAATATGGAAGGAAAATGAGTTTGGTAGGAAAGTTAAACAAAAAACTGTTTGGTTGGCTAAATTTTTACAAAGAAAATTGAGTTAAATATTATGAGTCTTTATTTAGTTGAGGGTGAAATAATGATAGGTAAATATGTTGAAATACCGAAAACAACCCCTAATTTAATTTTTGAATCTGTATACTTGACCAAGGGTAATATGGTAACACGTTCATTCACCTTTTTGGGGCCGCCCAGCATTTTCAAGGAATACCACACTCGGTCAAATTCTACATGATTTTCCTTTCGTTTTTCACTTGCTTGTCAAAGGAAGGGGAAAAGAGAAGCATGACACAATTTTTGGATTCTATCTACCAAACAAAGGAATCGTTGAATGCCAGTTACATTTGGATGGGGAACCAAATCAAAAGTCTGAACCAAACACCACCTAATAGATCCAGCTATCTGATTGAAGAATAGCCAGGACCACAAAAATCAGTAATCCATATTCAAACCCCCTGGCAGAAAATCAAAGGCTATTGAGAAAATCAAACACAAAACACACTTGAAAGTTGAAACTACATTATTCATTCCAAATCCTTTGGCCTACGTTATTTAATAATTCAACAAACGCTACATTATCCAAAAGGGTAGGACAAAAGAAAAATTACAGTAACAACCATATCAGGGGCTAGCAGGCTGATTGAGAAGAGTCCATCCAAATGAAAGTGTGCACAGCATGAGACCCAGCAGCGCCAGAAAAAAAAATTTCCTGCGAGCATATTGATTAATTTACACATTAATGGTTTTAGACCAATCAAACAATTATGGTTAATTATATATTTCAACCACTTGATGATTCATACGGTCCTTTTTCCTAAAGATTTTTTTTTTTTTTTTTTAAATTAAACTCGTTATTCTCTTTCTAAAGTCTGAACAAGAAGAAGAGAGAGAGAAAAGCAAAACAAAGAGAAGAGAACAAACCCGATCGTGAGACGGTTCTTGGGTTCTCCCGTTGCATAGCCTGTGAAGTAGAAATATCTAGCCACGGTGTAAAGTATTCCAAGGGCAGCACAAATGGAGGGGTGCCGCAGCCCTCCCAAAATCATCAGCATGAAGAAGATGGGCATCGTTTCAAGAGAGTTTTGGTGCCCTCTCTGCACTCACCAAAACACACACCCAAGACATAGATCAACCAATAAGCAAAAACACTCCGTTCATTAACTAATCCACGAGAAACAAAAACAGAAAAGATGAGAAGCCAGGAACTTTCAGGGCTGAGCTAGAGAGAGACAGACAGACAGACAGACCTGAATGCAGTTGAAGAGCTTGGCATCTTTGTTTTCGGATTCTGAAGCATAAAGGGTGGGATAAAATACCTTGTACCTGTGGAGAATTTCAACAAACACCTTGTTAACAAAATCCTCACTTAAATGCATACATGTATACAAAAAAATGGGGCCAAAACAAAAGCAATTATTACCTGTTGCGAGCTCTACCCACTTGACCGGCCATGTAGAAATTGAGGAAACAGTAGAGAACGAGAACGATGGCCACGAAGCCATACTCTTTTGGCAGCAATTCTATGAGTGCGGCCATTTTCGGTTGATGGGGGGTTGTGGTTTCGGAATGAATAAGGTAAAGATGAGAAAACGCAGTAATCAGTAATGGATTCGGTGTGTTGCAAGTTTTTGAAGCGATATATATATTCGGGACTCGGTTTGATTATTATTATTTTTTTAGGGAAAGAAATCAGTAAATGGTAAAATATTATCTTGTGGTTCTGTGCTTTCTCTCACGTGGTATCAATATAGGTTTTGACACGTGGGTTAATCCGCGACACGTCACGAAAATTTATGTTTGGGTTGACCCACAAAAAAATTCGTGTCGTGTTCGTGTTGGATAAAATGACATGTAAATAATTCTTGTCGTGTTCGTGTTGATGTATTCGTGTTCGTGGCGACCCGTATTTTTTTAAATTTTTTTTAATTTTGATCTATTTTTTTAATTTTTTTTGTCAATTACCGTTTTGACCCCTATTTTGCGTGTTATTCGTGTCGTGTCAGTGTTGAAGATTTTGACATGAATAAAAATTTGTGTCGTGTTAGTGTTGATGTATTCGTTGTCGTGTCAACCCATTTGACACCTCTATTCCTCCCCAAGGCAAAGTGTATATTCGTTTTAATGGAGAAGCATTGGATTTGGCTTGAGTGACTTGGTCCATAGAGGAAAAAACAGTTTTTTTTTTAAATAATAATTAAAGTGGTATTAACAAATATGTTGTTGTTTGAACTGTCGGAGTTCGTAAATACATCCCATACAGGTGAAATGTATCAATTTAGGGATCCTTATTAGTAACGAGACCAAAGTATTGTAAAAGCTTCCCATGATATAAGCCAAGTATACTGCAAGGGTGTGTGCGTGTGAGCACGGGCGGACCCAGTGGGGGGGGGCGAGGGAGGCCCCCGCCCCTATTTAAAATTTGAAATTTGATTTTTATAATATAAGTAGGAAAATGTGATGATGAAATTACCGTGTTATACACGTTTTTTCCTTCAAGGGGCGTTTGGTAGAGGAGAAATTTTTTTTTATCCGAGAATCACGATTTCCAGGAATATGATAGGAAGATGAGTTTTCTGGGAATGTTAGGAAAAAAGTGTTTGGTAGACTAAAATATTCCCAGAAATATTGGGTTAATTTTCTTAATGTTATGTTTAGTTGTATTAAATTTTCCCTTGCCATAGAAAATCTAGAATACCACCCCTGGATGGTATTTTCAAAAAAATTTACACACAAAATAAAATCTCGGGAAGATCAGATTTATGGGAAAATTTTAAAAAAATTGTACCAAACATTGGTAAATATGATTACCACTCTCAGTTTTCCTGAAATCCTAAAAAATGCCTCGTACCAAACGGCCCCTCAGTTCCCCATGTTTCTGCCCACACTCTTACCCATATTTTTCCTTGAGAACATCATATCATCCTCTCTCTCCTTTCCGTGTTCTGTCCATTACCAACCTCCTTCTTTAGCCTTTCGATCTTGGCTGTGTAAATTCGATTTTGGCTGTGTATTAAAAAAAAAATCCTAAAGCCAGGCAAAATCAAATTCCACCTTCCGAAGATCATTGCATGTATATATTGTCATAGACTATCTTTGATTATATACATTAAAAAAGAAATTATTTTGAATTTTAGCACGGATTCAGTTATATATGAGTTTAACAATATGAAAACACGTAGAGCAAGAGTAAGTGAAGTGATATTAATTTCTGTAATAAATTTTTTCCAATTTTTTATATATTAAATTTGTATTGTATTTCAAGTACTTTTATTTATGATATAGTATTTTTTATTTTCACCCCCTCTTATAAAAATTTCTGCGTCCGCCACTGGTGTGAGTGATTAGAATGCCTTCACAAATATGCAGAGTAACAACTCATGAGTTAAATAGATCTGAAGATGCTCATTCAATGTGAGAGATGGATATTTATAAAGGAAGTCTCTCTCCAAGCATAGGAGAGAAAATGTTGATGCCTAGCCTTATCCTGTTCTAGGAGATAAGACATGCAGATAAGTCACTTTATAATGTACAGTAGGTTATAGAGAATGGGAAAAACCTCGGTGACAAGCCTCTATAATTCATCATGGGTGCTCTCTAGAATGGAAGTGTTTAAAATCAATGATAAAGTGAAGGAGACGTTATAATAAGGAAGGACCCCTAGACTCAAATCTTTTATTGCTAAAAGTAATTTTTATTTTTTATTATATAATTATTGATGGTTTCTGTTGGCCTTGCTAATATTTATGCAAGAATTGTGCAAGTAAACGCAACCACAAGTAATATAGGATCTTTGAGTCCCAGTTATCATTCCCACAAGGATCTTGGCAATGTGAATTAATTGCAAAAATTATAAATGCTAAACTGATGAAAAATAAAAATTATCCACAAAAGGAACAAAAAAGAAAAATAACAAAAATGGAAAATATAAACTTCTTTTTGGATTTTTCTAAGTTACTTGTGAACTGTTGAATTATGTGTAAAGAAAATAAAGATTAAAAAAATTAAATTCAATCTAAAATTTCTTTTTGGCTTTCTGGAATATTCTGTATGTTGTTCATTTTAAAATGCATTGAAGAAAGAAAATTCTTGAAAGTTAAAATCAAAAACATCAAGAGATAAAAATAGGTGAAGAAAATATTAAAAAAAATCGGGTTGAGCTTTCGGTTTACCCTTCCCACAACAGTGAAAGAAATGCTAATTACATATATCTTAATTTTAATTCTTAGTTAACTGATCACTCTTGTTGATTTTAATCTCTTAAAATTATTTTATCCACAACCTTTATTCACACGTCTCTGTGCTAAATACAATGATGACTCTTGAATCACAAGTCCAAAGTTACATGGTAGGTTCCTTCATCTCTGAAGTGAATCCTCTTGAATAATCTATCATTCAAGTCCATGTGTTTAATGCATTTTTCAGAATCAGTCACCTCTCGATAACTTCTTCCTAATTAAACATCTAACATCAGACCTAAATGCAAAATGTTTGAATAACCAGCTTGGGATTAAACAACTGAGAATTAAAATTTACAAACAGTAATTAGCAAGCATTCAACACTGAGGTTCGGGTAACCTAGACCCAACCTTCAAAAGTTTAGCTCATACTCATGAGAGTTGAGCTACAAAAATAGCAAACGAAAATTAAAAAGGAATTACAACTCAATTGGAAAATTACTATGCAGGAGCTATAACCACAAAATAGCTCTGCTACAGTGCCATGAAACTAACAAAGAGAAAAATGTAAAGATGATAATCAAAACAGACCACAACGAAAAATAGAAAAGATGGAGAGAAAAAAGTTCCCTACAAAGCTTTGCTCTCCTCTTTTATAGCTGGTGCTTCCACATGCAGAGACGACTCATGCATTAGCTGGCACGTGGTACGCGCTCCTCCCAATCGTGTGATTCCCTTGCAAAGGCAGCAACCACACTCCAAAAACTGCTTCAACTAATAATCCTAACAAACTCCAGCTCACCTAATCAGTTATGGGTAGCGTTTGACATTTTCTTTTTAAAGGAAAATGGCTAGGGTCAGCTTTTTGGGTTGAATGCTCAGCTTAAGGGACAATGGGTGAAGGCTTAAGGCTCGATGGGTAAACAAAAATTATAGACCAGGTGTGTATTGGTGGGTCTGGATTTGGAGTAAGAAGTGTGAAATGGCAAGCTGTAATTGAGAGAGATGGTTAGGGTTCAAAGAGGATTAGAAGAAGAAGAATAGGACCTCAAATACGATGCCCTTATCTCACCCTTTTTCTTTTCATTTATGCTTTTTGCTTTCCCCCAAATTGTTGTATTCCAATATTGCCTTCCAGAGTGTTATTTTGGGCTGATTTCTGATTTGTAATTTAAGACCCATTTCAGCTCATCTTTTTCTTTATCTTGGGACATCAATTTTAACCTTGAATTGGTGGTGTCAAAAGAGAATCTATTACTTCAATATACCAACACATAAGCTTTAATGTAAATGAGGTTAAAATAACACAATGTGTTCTTTTTTTCTACATTTTACCGTCAGCAATTATGTGTTTTAAGTCACATTTTATGGACTTATAGTTCCCCTCTCATAAATTTTTTAATTATCAGTATATTTTTAATTTTTATCATATAAATAATTATAACAAAATACATTAATAATTTTTCCCTACTTACATAAATTTTTAGTACAATTTTTTAATAAAAAAGAGTAAATATCCTTTTTGGTGCTCGTCAAATTTTACGATACCCGCTTTAGTCCCAAGCAAATAAAAAGGCTATTTGTAGTCCCTAAGAAATTCAAAATGGACCCATTTAGTTGAAATCGTGGTCCATTACAAATTCAAAAAGACCCATATTAGTCCCTCAAAAGGACTAAAATGGATCCACTTTGAATTTCTTAGGGACCACAAATAGCCTTTTTATTTGCTAGGGACTAAAGCGGACATCGTAAAATTTGCTGAGGTTCGAAAATGATATTTACTCTAAAAAAAGAATCAATTGGCGACGACGGTGAAGTAAGATCCTAACAAGGAAATACCTATTATCACGCTGTGAAGCACGGACACGACCTTTTATTTGAAAATTGCGTGTCCGAGACTGACACGCTCCGACACGTTCTTATAAAGAAAATCGAATAATATAAATTTGAAGAATTTTTTTATTCTTCAAAAAGAAATAAAAAATTGGATTCGATGTTATTATAGAAATATATTCTATCTATAAGACATCTACTTTATATAGACATCTACTTTACTTTTAGTACAGTTTCTATTATGTTTTCGCATAAAGAATAAAATATCATCGGTGCTCTAACTGTGCCTACATTAATTAACACCCCTAAATATTTGAGTATTTGATTCAATTCAATGCAAATAGAAATTGAGTATATATATTTTTTTTCCCGGTTGTATCAATATTCTGACACGCGGTCAATATTTTTGGACACGTTGACTATCCCGACACGCGATTTTGACCGTATCCGACACGGTCAAAGGATAGAAACGTAAATTTTTTGAAATTTTTATAAATCAAAATAATTCTAAAATAAAATAAAAAAATAAATTGTAAGAAAGAGGAAGAATGAAGAAGAACGCCAACGACGATGAATGTGGTGACTCGGTTGCTGACTCGTCGGCCATGAAGAAATGCCCTTTAAATCGGTCTGGTGGTTCGTCTATGCCGGGATCTCATGTTTCATTGTCGTCTTCGCCGGAATCATGTTCAGGGTTGGATTGTAAAGAAGTGATAATGAAAAGGGAGGAAAAAAATGGGTTACTTTGGAGGCGAAGAAGAAGAAGGAAAATCATGATGCTGTGAGAGATGACTGTTGATGATGATGCTTTCACGGATGAGTGTTGATAATAAAAATCTGAGTTATGTGGTTGTCTCATTCTTAACCACTTGTTTTTTAACCCTGGTTCTAATCCATGGTTAAATTCTTGACCGACTTGATGTTAGATGTGACTAATAAATATGCCTTCAATTGGCCTCACCACGTTTCTATTGTGACTCTGCTTAGAAGATCATACTTTTTATTTAAAGTGAAAATAATAATGAGTTATAGACTATATATTATAGCAATTGTTGAGTTGTAGATTGTAGAAATTAATTATATAATTTTAAATAGAATACACATAATAATTTATAGTATGAGACATTTATTATCACAACCCACCTCTACTCTTACAAAAATAATACTAGTTTCTTATGATCAGTTTGTTATATGTATTAAGTATAAAATTTTTATATATATTAAAAATATTATTTAATATCAAAATGTGTCCTAACGTGTCGAAATTTAACATTTTTTAGAATTAACGTGTCGGAGTGTCGTGTTGTGTCATGTGTCGGTGCATCATAGTTATCACGCACACCGTTAGTTGAACTTAAAAGTAGACTCATTTTTTCACCAAAAAAAAAAAAGTAGACTCATTAAAACCACTAAGATATGTTATTTGGATAAATTGTATTAGGCTATGAATTCAATTTTCATTCGTATCAAAAAAAAATAAAAAATAGACACATTAGGGGATTGGATCTAATCCAATTTTGGTTTTGGGCGTGACCCAAAGCCTTGTTAATCTCCAAATTAAGTTTTAGGGTTGTTCTAACAAATAAGGTTCGAATGGTTGCCTTTCAACCAAAAGTGGCTTGGAAGGAAAGAGGAAAGCCCAAAGCATAGGGGTCCACCACTCTCATGTCGAACGTGTTCCTCAATCACGTGCTTCAGATCTTCATCTGTTTCAAATCCATATACATTTGTTTCTTTATTTATTTAATCATTGGTTGTTGTTGTTGTTGGAATCCAGGGAAAGGAAAAGAATACCAGAGAAAGTGATGTCACAAGGGACAGAAATGACACGACTCTCGCCGCCGACATACTTGAGGAGGCCAAGAACCTTTCCGCCGTGGCTGCACAGGTACTTGACTTTATTCTTGGGCGACTCATCCCCCATTGTTTATTGTATCGTATCAGTCAAAATGAATTCAAAGAGTGATTTTGGGATGAAAAAGGAAGGATATCAAATCAGAGGATGAATTTGCTTTACTAGTTTGGGTCATGCAGGTAGCAGTAGCATTAATCTTTATGGTGCAAAGCAGAAGAGTTGTCAAATTTCATGACATATTGTAACTAATACAGTAGCCCACACTGCATCCGCATGATAAGAAGTAATATGTTTCCTTCTCATGTCCAAACAGGAACCAAATGTTTTTATTCTTGTTCATTATGGTATGTCACAGGAAATACAAACCAACTCTTACGAACAAAATAAATAAAAATTAACGAAGCCTGACCTCAAATGACTTTACTGAATAAGCTTAACCTCTTGCATAAGTGTCTTTTGGAATAACTTTTTTAATCTGATAATTTTCATTCTAATATTTAATTTTAATATGATAATTCAAAAAATAATAAAATAACATAAATAAAACCTTAACATAATTCCACATCAAATTAAGAGTAGAGTCAGAGGATGATTTAGTATTTATTGCATATCTTGTTGATCAAGAGTCACAAGACAGGTATGAGTGCTCCCCATTTCAATCCAACTTGCCCCAGTTGGGAAACAGAGCCCAATAAGAGAATTTAAAACCCAAAATCCACCCACTTTATAAAACCAGAAACAGAGGAATGATAGATCTAGCTATCTGATTGAAGAATACTAGAATAGGCAAAAACAGTAATCCATATTCAAACCCCCTGGCAGAAACTCCAAACTTGACCTTATTGTAATACAAAGGCTATTGAGAAAATCAAACACAAAACAAAACACACTTGAAAGTTGAAACTACATTATTCATTCCAAATCCTTTGGCCTACGTTGTTTAATAATTCAACAAACGCTACATGATCAAGAGGGTAGGACAAAAGAAAAGTTACAGTAACAACCAAATCAGGGGCTAGCAGGCTGATTGAGAAGAGTCCATCCAAATGAAAGTGTGCACAGCATGAGACCCAGCAGCGCCAGAAAAAAAGATCTCCTGCGAGCATATTGATTAATTTACACATTAATGGTTTTAGAAAAATCAAACTATTATGGTTGATTATATATTTTAAACACTTGATAATTCATATGGTCTTTTTTTTCTTATGATTTTTTTTTTTTAATTGAACTTGTTATTCTCTTTCTAAAGTCTAAACAAGAGAGAGAGAGCAAACCCCATCGTGAGACGGTTCTTGGGTTCGCCCGTTGCATAGCCTGTGAAGTAGAAATATCTAGCGACGGTGCAAAGTATTCCAAGGGCAGCACAAATGGAGGGGTGCTTCAGCCCTCCCAAAATCATCAGCATGAAGAAGATGGGCATCGTTTCAAGAGAGTTTTGGTGCCCTCTCTGCACTCACCAAAACACACACACACAAGACATAGACCAACCAATAAACAAAAACACTCCGTTCATTAACTAATCCACGAGAAAGAAAAACAGAAACGATGAAAAGCCAGGAACTTTCAGGGCTGAGCTATAGAGAGAGACCTGAATGCAGTTGAAGAGCTTGGCATCTTTGTTTTCGGATTCTGAAGCATAAAGGGTGGGATAATACACCTTGTACCTGTGGATATTTTTCAACAAACACCTTGTTAACAAAATCATCACTTAAATGCACACATGTATAAATAAAAAAATGGGACCGAAACAAAAGCAATTACTTGTTGCGAGCTCTACCCACTTGACCGGCCATGTAGAAATTGAGGAAACAGTAGAGAACGAGAACGATGGCCACAAAGCCATACTCTTTTGGCAGCAATTCTATGAGTACGGCCATTTTCGGTTGATGGGGTTGTGATTTCTGAATGAATCAGATAAAGCTTAATGGGTTCGGTTCGGTGTGTTGCAAGTTTTCGAAGCGATATATAATATGGGCTCAATGGCTTCGGAATTCAGTTTGATTATTATTTTTTTAAAATATTATCGTTATGTCCTGCTTTTAAGCTTCTTGTCCAAGGCAAAGTTATATATGTTTTAAATTTTTAATCGAGAAGCGTTGACTTTGGTTTAAGTGACTTGGTCCATAGAGGATTAAACATTTTTAAAATAAATAATAATAATAATAATAATAATAAAGTGGTATTCACAAATCCTGATTGATTCGCAGTCGCAGATATTTAGGTAGTGTTTGGTTGATGGTTTATTTTGGGTTGATGGAAAAATGATATTGGAAAATATCACGTTTGGTTCAGATTTTTTCAAAAAATACCAGGCAAATAGGATAGATGGGAAAATGATTTTTGTGTTGATTTTTGGATGAAATTCACTGTTACAGAATACCACTTGAGATGTGATATTTTGAAATAACTGGGGAAGTGAAAAAACAGGTACAAAGTTTCTCCCGAACATAGATTTTGCATATTTAAATAAATTTTTCTGGTAATTTTTGGGTCAACCAAATAAATTTTTTACATTTTCCTACCAAACTCATTTTCCAACTATTTCCTTATCAATTATATTTCCCTACTAAAAAAAATTTCTCCCCAAATAAACACTACCTTACTGTGTGCTGAGGATGGAAGTGCAGATGGGCTTATTTCACCATTTAATTCCCAATTTGGCTTTGCTGCATAACTGTTTATCAAACCGGTTTGGTTACTGTTGCCCCACCTCCCTTGCGGTATTATTAATATTTTCATTTTTCTACAAAAATATAATGGAACGATCCAATCGAATTATGCCAATGGTGAAATCTAGTTGGCCCAATTATTTTTTTCATTTTACTTTTTATAAAATACCTCCATCTTTATGTGTAATTTAGTTATTGAAAATTAATTTTTGTAATTATTAATTATTAATTATTAAAATAAGTAATTATTAATTTTATTAATTAGTATTTTGTATTTAAATTATTTACTATCAATTTTATTTATTATTTGTTATAACAATTAGTAATTAATTAATCAATATTAATATAGTAAATAATTATTACTATTCAATATTCATGACTATTTAATTACAAAATTATAACTTATGAATATAATTATTAATTATTAATCAACGATTACTAATTAATAAAATTAAAATTCAATAAATAAATTACAAATAACAAATTACTAGAATTGCTCTAACTAGTGATTTGTAATTTAGTTATTCAAAATTAATTTTAGTAATAGTAATTATTAATTAATACTTGTCTTAATTAGTTATTTGTAATTTACATAGTTAATATTAATTTTAATAATTATTATTTATAGTAAAAAATAATTTTTATACTATATTAATGACTATTATTATTATTATTCTGTAATTTTATCCGTAATTATTCCACACACAAAAAAGAGACTAATTATTCAATATTATAGTAAAAAGACAAAATACTGCCCAAAGTGGGTGGGCAACACTAATTACCCTTCGATAAATAATTCAACCACAAGGCCAAATTGGAAATTGAAGGGTGAAATCAAATTTTAAAGTCAATCAACCATCAATCAAACTATATATATATATATAAAATAACTAATAATTTTTACTGGTGTCAAATAAAAAATTTAACACCTCATCTTAGAGTTTTAGACAATGTTAGAAAAATTGGACCAATCCGGAAACCGGTGAACCGGTCATATAACTGGTCCAATTTTCATATGGGACTAGCCATGTTATAGAACCAGTGTGACCCGACCGATTTTCATAAAAATCGGTGACCCGATCGGTCACTGGCGGACCCAGGAAAAAAATTTATGTCTGCGCTGCCCCCAAAAATTTTATGTTGTAAAGAAAGTTTAAATCAACGCTTGAACCTGCTCATAATCTAGTTGCTTCCATAACAAGCTGTAGGCAATAGTTTGACCAATTATTTCTCTCCCCTAAATCTTACCAATCCTCCAAAACAAATATGAAAATATACTCCAGTACATCCATACATCATCATTCTATTTTATAGTGGTGAATAAAAAAGTCAAGAATACCTATACAGAAGGCAAGCAAAATCACAGTGAAGGCCTCGTCTCTAGATATTAACTTATTTGAGAATGTCAGACCTACAATCAATCCTCTCTTTTTATAAAAATGAAAAAAGAAACAAATGATGAAAAGAGCATGAGAATGGGTGCGTGACATGGAGAAAGAATAAGTTTTCTCTCTAATCAATTTGCGTTGCTACGCGTACGTTGCTAACTAATATAAGAATAAATATCATTTTTGGTCTCTAACAAAAAATTCGGTCCTCACTTTAGTCCATTATAAAAAAAAATTAGTCACCTAGTCTCTATGAAATTCAAAGTGGACCTATTTTGGTCTTTTTGAGGGACTAATGTAGGTCTTTTTAAAATTTATGAGGGACCACGATTTTAACTAAATTGATCTACTTTAAATTTTTTAGTGACCTCGAGATTATTTTTTTTTTTGTAAAGGACTAAAATGAGGATCATATTTTTTGTTAGGGACATAAAATGGTATTTACTCCTAATATATATATTGAACCAAGAGACAAATAAAAACCTGCAACCAAGAAAAGAAAAAAAAAAAACTGAAATCAAAAATTTTATGTCCGCACTTGCGGTGGGTCCGCCAGTGCGGTCGGTTCAACCGGTGGCCCGGCCCGGTCAATAAATAAAAAAACTAATTTATTTTCATAAATTAATGTCTTCTTTATTTTTACTCTCAAACTCAAATTGTTTGTATTCTTTTGAAATATTTGAGTGATTTGTAGCTTATTAACTTACATAGATTATGTACTTACAACACTAATATTATCTTGATTATGTAATATGCAGGGAATTTTGATTTGATTTATAGTCAGAGATATCGTTTACTGACCCTGAAACACTAGTATCACAAATATTATATATTTGAGTTGATCTTTTGTTGGACAATGATGTATAATTTATTATTTGCATATTAAAATATTTGAAATTGATATATTTTTTTTACAAGTATTTAAGTATATTTATAATTTTTAATATAAATTGTAGATTTATATATACTTACCGGGTCATGCTGTAGAACCAGAGACCCACTGGTTGAACCAATAACCTAGTACCTCGACCGGGCCAATAACCGGATCAGGTTTAATAACATTGATTTTAGATCAAGACTGGTAACGACATCAAGTGTTTATAAATTAGAGTCGTTAAATTAAGACAAAATCAACAATTTTCAAATAAGGTGTAAATTTATATATATATATATATATATATATATATATATATATATATAGGGAGGGTTATATTTACAAACTTTTTTATTTATAAATTCTTACAAACTATACTATCTTCTCCCGGGAGAACACTAGGTTACACTATGTTCCCAACTTATACTATGAGTCATTAGTAGGAGAAAATTTTTCTCCTTTAAAAAGAGAAAATATTTTCCCACACATATATATATATATATGACAATTTGCACAGATTTTATTTTAATAATTTTCTCACATACTTTGAAAAATCTTTTAAAATCCCAATAAAATTAAAATGCGATCATATTGAGATAAGATTGTATAGATTAATTTGTTATTCTTTTGTTTGTTAGCTGATATGAGTTGTTAGCTAATATTCTTGATAAGTGTAAATCTTTTGTATTATTTTTAGGATAGTTTAAATATTCTGATAAGATTTTAGTTAGGTTGTTTTGGTTTTCCTTTGTATCGTGGCTTTATTTAAACAAGCCTTTACCTGTTCAATCAATTAAGTCACACATTTCAAATATTCTTGTTATGGTATCAGAGCCAAAAGATCTAGGCCTTTCTTCTTCCTTGCTTTGCTAGCCAGAACCACGGCTGCTTCAAGCAAAAATTTCAAAATTACTGATCCCCGTTCTCCCTTTTACACTTATCCTTCCGATAATCCCGGAATTCTTCTTACTAGACGCGGTCATGCTGCCTCTTCTGCCCAAGCCGCGCACAACATCACCACCTAACCAGAAAATTCCACAACCGGTATTGCCTCTTTGCCGAGCCTTACACCGGAAGTGCTTCAACAATTGCTGGCTCTGGTTGATTCTTCTAAACAGTCATCTGACAAGCTTTCTGGTAACACGCATACTTCTATTTCATGGCTTATTGATAGTGGTGCATCCCAACACATGAATGGTAACATTGTTTTTTTATCTGATATTCGATCCATATCCCCTTGTACCGTGGGTTTGCCTAATCGAAATCGAACAACTGCAGTAAAGAGTGGCACTGTTTCATTAACTTCTTCATTAGTTCTAACTAATGTGCTATATGTTCCATCTCTCACCTGCAACCTGATTTCAGTCTCTCTTTTAATAAAGTCAAATACATGCTACGTAATTTTTACTGACAAAAATTGCATCTTACAGGACCAACACTTGAGGACAACGATTGGATGGGGTGATGCGCAGGAAGGGGTGTATGTCTTGAGGAATTCGTCAATTTTCACTAATGCAATACAAATTTCGGATTCTTCCTCTTTGTGGCATAGAAGACTTGGTCATCCTTCTCGACATTATCTTTCACTGCTTCCTTTTATTTCAAGCTCAAATAATGTTGGTTTTTGTGATGTATGTTCTAGAGCTAAACAGGCTCGTAGTCCATTTCCAATAAATAAAAAACGCAGCTTGCATGCCTTTGATTTATTTCACTGTGATCTCTGGGGTCCTTATGCTACTGTCTCCTTCACTGGTGATAAATATTTTTTGACTATTGTGGACGATTACAGTCGAAATGTGTGGGTATTTTTAATGCAAAATAAAGGAGAAACATATTCACATTTTCGATTTTTTCTTAACATGGTTTCCACTCAGTTTCAAACATCAGTAAAAAGCATTCAAACAGATAATGAAAGTGAATTTATGTCATCTATGATGCAAACTTTATTGGCAGATTTTGGTATTCTTCATAAGCAATCATGTACTTACACACCCTAACAAAATGGACGTGTGGAAAGAAAACATCGTCACAT